GAGTCCCGGGATCGAGTCCCACATCGGGCTCCCTGCTCAGCGGGGAGTCTGCTTCTCCCTCTGACCCTCTTCCCTCTCGTGCTATCTCTCATTCTATCTCTCTCAAATAAATAAATAAAATCTTTAAAAAAAATAAATAAAAAATTGTGGTAAAATCTACATCACATGAAAGTTACCGTTTTGGCCATTTTAAAGTGGGCGGTTCAGCGGCATCCGGTATCCTCACGGTTGTGAACCGCCCCCACCCCCCAAAGAGGATTCACTTCATCTTGCAGAACTGCAGCTCTGTACTCACCCACTAACTCCTGGTCACCCCCGTTCTAGAAACATATTAATATCCAGATAGCTGACCCTACGAAACAGATGGTGTCGCCTACTGTGGTCACCAGTGAGACAGCCTTCCTGACTTGGGATCGAGGGAGGGCAAAGAGCACGGAACTACAACGAGCAGTGACCCAAAGCCTGAGTGTTCTCTCTGGGTCAGTGTGTTGGCGATGCTTGCAGAAGTCGACAGCTAACAGGGCACGAGGGTGATCTAGCACAGAGTGAAACGTTATGCTTGACGTCTATGCCCCTAATATTCATTTCTATCCTTACTGGGAAACCAGGCATTTATTTTGGAAGAAACAGGAAAAAGCAATTGTATGCCGAGTATGCATTTCGTCAGGGAAATGACCTGCAAATTTTCAGGAGGGTCAACTCTCTGGGTAGGTGGAATGATTGGTGACGAAGTGATGTTGAGTGATGATATTACTAATAAAAAAATAGCAGCTCTCGTTTGCTGAGAAAATACTACATGCATAGCCCTAAGGACCATTCTATATGATATTTCTTCATGGAATCCTCCCAACCACCCAGCACATAGGTGTGACTGTGATGCCAGTTCGTGGATGGAGACAGTGAGGCCAGGAGAGGTTAAATGTATTACGCAAGGCTTTGTAGCCAGTAAGTGCTAGAACAAGGATTCAAACCCAGACCGTGTGTGCTTTTAAACCAAGTTCCCTGTAACAAGTCCCAGGGTGACTTTTTTTTTTTAGGAGAAATTTAAGAGAACCCGGCTCCCCACGAAGACTTCTGCTTGAATACCAATGCTGCAGACTCTCCCACCCCAACATCAGCCTGGTAGAATGTTCACTGGGTTCTGATGAAGGCCCTTTCCATGTACCAGCAGGTCCCAAGACCTTTACCTGTGGAATGGTAGAGCGGATGCGCCGGTCACTTTCTCCTTTCCAGATAATCGTGGCAGAGCAGATAAGGCAGTTCTTGCCCCCGATCCAGAAGGGGTTGTGAACGCAAATGAGGGCCAAGAGGAAGGAGGATGAAGAACCTCCAAATTCTGGCCACACCCCTCACCCTGACTGAGTCCCCTCGGTCACACACTGCCATCTGCAGCGTGGGAAGGTGCCCTGAGCCCATGGAGCTTCTGCGGGGAGTAGCACTTGTCTCTAATGGAGCTACATTCCAGAACCTTCTAAATATATAAGAAGTCTCCCCCTTCCTTCCTGTCCTCTGCAAGCTTGGTTCTGTCTTCTTACCTATGGTCCTGTCGCCGTCGGGGTCCACCTCCTGAGCCATGCTCAGCGCCTCTGTGGTGGCGATGTCCACGTTGCAGGGGACCACCACCAAGTTGATCGTCTGTTGCTTCTGGATGTACTTCTTGATGAGTGCCTTAATCTGATGCAAAAAAAAAAAAAAAATCACACAAAGGAAGAGCACATCTCTGGTCAACCAACAGCCCAGCTGGACAGGTGTAATTGCGAAAAGCCAATTTCCAAGAGCGTGACCCAGTTTTTGCACTTCTGGGCGTTGACTTGGCCAATCCCTTTCCTCGGACATGCCTGCCCCATCTGCCCTTGTTGGGTTCTCTGTTGATTTCCTACTTTCCTTCAAACCCTACCACTGGTATTTCTTCTTTCCCGCAGACTCTGATTCCTGTAGCCAGACTAGACCTCTCCTTCTTCTCCAAATCTCTCCTGTGATGCTTCTGAGATTCTGCCTTCTATTACAGTGTTTGTGTATGTGTCCTATTTGCCCCAGATGCCCAGGGGCACCTTTGTGACCTCTCACGTGTCAGCTCAGTATCTCCATGCCGAGTCCCACAATGGCGCCCCAAAGTGGCAGGTGCTCAGTGCCTGCTACAATAGTATCTGATGTCAATAATATCTCTACATGTGTTCATTCCCAATATTAATGTCTTTTTCTGGAGTTTGTTCTTGGGAGGGGTCTAGCTCACTCAGATTAGAGAAATCCAATAAAATTTCTTAGAATCTGTAGGCAAAGAAAGATGTGGGCAACATAAGCCTTACATTTCAAATTTCAAAAATATTTTTCCCCATGGACAATACAAACCAACACGGACAAGTCTGGCACCTAGGGACATATTTTTTTTTATATATATATTTTGGTACAATTCACACATAGTTTTGCTCTCATGATGCCCCATAAAATTATTTTAAGTTGCACACAGAAAATAATACTGCATAGACACAAACAGGAAATTTGCATCACGTAAGCGCAGCCTAGCATCCTATAAACAATTAAGTGCTGGGGTCAAATAAAAATTATAAATACAAACAGGACCAGTTAGGTCTTAGCCATGGGAAAATTTCACTGAGTAAAGTTATAATCAACTTCTGTAAGCGAGTTTATGGAATAAACTCACGTTATGCGATAATGTTACAGAATATATTCACGTTAAACGTGAATTGTCCTTAAGTTAAATGTCTTCTTGTCGGTCTTTATCCCCTCTGCCACACCCTTGTGCAGCACCTGTTCTGCTGTAAGTGAACAGACCATCCAGGGTTCTCCATCTCAGCACCGTGGGACAATTTGGGATGGACAGCTCTTTGCTGGGGCGGGGGGCAGGGCCAGCTGGTGCATTATAGAAAATTCAGCTGCATCTCTGGTCTCCACCCACTGGATGCTGGTAGCAGCCCCTCTTTCCCAAGTTGTGACATCCATAAATGTCTCAGACATTGCTGACGTCCCTGGGGGACGTCCTACCCCTACGCTTGGGGTAGGAACCACTATGGGAAACACACTTCTTCACCTTCAGTTCATGCAGCAAACATTACGGGCACCCCCAGGTGGTAGGTCCTTTCCAGGATCTAGAGATTCAGCACTGAACACACAGGCAATGTCCCTCGGGGGTTTTTGTCCCAGGAGGAAACGCGGACACTCAACAGGGATGGTAAATAGAAGTGGAAGGATCAGGTGCAGGGTACTGGGCATCAGGGAGGGCGTCCCGGAAAAGGTGGCATTTGGGAGAGCTCTGGAGGAAGTAGGGGAATGTGCCATGTGGAAATCTGGGCAGAGGGATGGAAGAGAAGGTGAAAAGCTGGAGTGCTCGAGGACCGTCGAGGACTCGGGTGTGGCTGGCGCAGGTGAGGAATGGGGCACAGTCAGAGATGTGGCCAATGAGCTAGTGGGGCCAGAGCACACTGGACGTTGGAAGCTTTCATGCTGATGGACGTGGGGCCACTGGAGAGCGTCGGGGAGTGACAGCTTCTGCCCCCTGTGCCCTGGGCACTGCTCCCCCAGTCTCCTCCCCAACGACTCAGAGCGAGGGCAGGGGAGGCGCTCCAAAGCCCCTGGGGCTGCCCGCAGAGACCTAGAAGTCCCCCCATCTTCAGCTTGGCCCATTCCCAAGTTCCAGAAAACTCACCTGCAGTCCAATGTCCTGGGGCTGGTTTCCCACAGGTACCCTGGTGATGCCAGGAAGGTCAATGAGGGTCAGATCCGGAACCTCAGGGGAGGTGATCTCCAGACTAATGAGCTCATGGCTGATGCTAACTCCGTTCCCAGCTATGGTGTTCTGGGCTGTAGAGGCCGAGAGAGGGGAAACCCAGGGTCCAGATTAACCACCCATCCGAGGAAAAGCAGTTGTAGGAGCCTCCGAGAGCCCCTGGTGCTCAAGAAACACTTCACAGAGGCCTGAGGAGTGGTCTCTGAGGCCCCTCGGGGGGCTGTTGAACACACAGACCCTCCGAAAGCCTGGAGAGAAGCATACCACATGCTCACAATGGGATTAAGGATGGGTTCTGTTCTCTTTCTTTATGCTTTTTAATATTTCCCAGTGAGTGTTGTAGTGGCTTCAAATATGTCCACAAATTCTCCCACACTCTCCCCTCCAAAAGGCGAGCCCCCTTGCGCGGGGGGCTGGGCGTAGGGACCTCTGTCTAAAGACAGAGATGTTGGAAGTGACGGTGTGTGACCACCAGTAACCACACCGTGACCGCCGCCTACTTGCTCTCGCGCGGCTCACTCTGGGGGAAGCTCGCCGGCCCGTCCTGAGGACACCACGTACCTCTGCCGAGGTAATAGGGTTCAAAGACAGAAGAAATTTTTCTTTTTGAGCTGGCCTCGAGCTCTGCTGATGTGGCAGGACGGTCTCCGTCCTCCTAGAGGGTGGCCAATGGACGGACGGGCTGGGTCCGAAGTTGGAAGGTGCGCACATTGTCACGAAAACCCAAGTGTCCGTAAAGACGGACCCTCAGTGCCATCGACAGGGAGCCTCCATCACGTCCGCAGGCGAAGACTGGTGTGGGGAGGAAGGACAGACGTGCAGATGTGGGCCCCGGGGATCCCCACGAGAGCTTCGCAGAGCAAATCTCAAGGCCGGAAGGAGGACATGTGGGCGGAGCTGAGACAGTCTCCGCCCCCGCCGCCCGCACTTCCACCATCTGCCCAGCCGCCTGGCTGTGCGTGCACCTCGCTTGCCTGTCACCCACAGTGATGTCCAGATGCCCTCGGGCAGGCAGGGTCCACCAGACATGCCAAGGGGATCTCGTCCCTTCCTGGGAGCACCCCTGTAGGTGAGTTGGAAAAAAACAGTCCTCCCACAGGCTGTTCACGTCACAACCAGAACAGGGACCGACTACGATGTCTCGTGCATACATCTCAGAGCCAGGACCTGCTTCATGTGCGTGAGGCCTGCGCTGTCCCCATGTCCAGAAGGGCCCCTCTCCTGGTTTACTAATCTGCTTTCACGGTCTTGTAATTCTTGGTAATTTTGAACGGGGTCGGGCGGGGGGGGGGATCTTGCAGTCTGACTTTGCACTGAGCGCCTGAGTCACGTAGGCTGGCCCTGCACTCTGAGCGCGGGGAACCCATTGTGGAGCCTGGTTCAAGTCCAGATTCTGACTGGGCAGGTCTGGGGTGTCTCCCTGAGACTCTGCAGTGCCAACAAGCCCCCAGGCAGAGTCGCTGCTGCAGACCAGATGAGGGCCAGGGAAATCCAGAAATGAAAGGAAGCTTGGATGGTCTAGGGGAGGGGGAGGGGGCGGTATTGATGGCAAATGTTGTGGGACACACATGCCAAGGACAAGGACACAGAGGTCACTGGTCACCAGCTCAAGGGGAAGCATGGAGACATAAGGATGATGCTCCCCCGTCACCTGGCCTTGTCCCCCAGGGTGGCCTCTCTCCCCAACACCTCCCTTCCTCCTCCTCCTCTTGGAATTAGCCACGGATCCACCGTGGAATGGAAAGCGAGTCCTGGAGCCTCCGGGCTGGAGGACCCTTCTCTCTCCAGCAGCCTGGTGGGGTGGTCATCGGGGGTGTGCACAGGAACGGGGAGAGGACTTCTCCGTTCTGGAGGAGATCCCTCTGCAGAGCCATTTGAGGCCTGCAGACATGGGGTTCCCGGGGAGCTGAGCCCGGAAGTCACGGAGAAAGGCTGTGTTTGCCTTCAGTCACATGGAGCCCCCCACGTTCCGAATCCGCTTTAATAATCTGCAGAGCAGTGGCCCGGACGGGGTGGGGTGTTCTGCGGGGGGCACTTCCCAGAGGAGGGGACGGTGTACAAGGCAGGAGGCCCAGCACACGGAAGAGCCTGGGAGGAAGAGGCCCGATGACCAAGAGGCGGAGAAGGAGCCAGGACGGCCAGGGAGCAGCCCCCCCGAGCCGCACCTGCAGACCCCTGGGGCCTCCTACCTTTGAGGACCTCCTTCTCCACCTGGGAGGGGTCCTGGAGCTGGAGCTCTGTCTTGCGGTAGCTGATCTTCCCCCGCCATGCGCTCTCGTGTGGCTGCCTCTTCATCTTCAGCACCAGCGGGCACCTGGTCACAATTCCTAAGACAGTGTCCCAAACATTCTAAGTTCCCTTGAAAAGAAGGGTTCGCGGGTGCCCTTTCCCCTCGCCCCCCAAGGAGCTGCCCTGGTGTCCCCAGAGTCCCCATCTGAGATTTCAGTCCTTCTCCAGGGCTGGGGAGCAATGGGGGCCTGGATCGGGTGGCACGAAGGTGCCCAGGTCCTAGGACAGAGGCATTGCAGCTGCCTCCCCCCGGGGGGGGGCCCTGTGCTCTGTGGTCACTGAGCCTCCAGGCCGACCAGGGCCACCGTCCCTGCTGTGCTGCTCTGGAAGCCACACAAGCCTGAGTTGAGGCTCTGTGTATCTGAGGGCTCCCCAGGGTGCCTGGGCTGGAGTCCCAGTCGGGCTTTGGCCGTGGGACCAGGCTTTGTCCAGGCGGCCGCAGAGGACAGAGGACAGATGGACGTGTGGAGCAGTGAGACCTGTCCCACCCCCTCCAAGCCCCTCACGCTTGGGGCTGGAGGGTGCAGGGAGAAGGTAGCTAGAGCCAGGGCAAGAGTCTGGACATCCGAAGGAGGGGGTTCAAGGGCATTTTCGGGATTCAAGGCTGGAACTGCCCCTTGCTCCTTAGGGCTGGGTGTTCCTGTGGCGAGGCCCCAAGCACCGCCTGTGTCCTCTATATTCCTGGCCCTAGAAGGGCCAGCGTCATCTCCTCCACCAGCCTGGGGACATGCCAGAGTCACAGGCATGCCACTGGTACCCGGACCCTCCACCATGCTGCATCTCTCCCCAGAATGCGGAGCCCAGGGCAGAGCAGAGGAGCGACCACTCCAGACCCTTCCCCCCTCGTGCATCAGGTGCCCGGCTGGGCTGACGGGGACCTCACAGGACACCCTGGAGTCTAGGACCAGGCTGCCAGTGGCTGGGAGAGGGCACAAGCCAGGGTGCCTGGTGTGGCAGCAGCTGATGGGGGCTGTGCAGGACCTGGACAGCCCTCTGGGGTCCCCACACCCTCCTCTGTGCCCGGAGGCAGCCCAGGTGAGACGGCATCGGTGGCCCCCGACCCCTGGGTTCCGGTCGGGTCTGGGCTATGGCCGCACTGGCAGGAGAGGGTGCAGGGCCAGGGACCCAGACAGAGCCCCCTCCAATCCACCTGGAGGGTACCATCTCTTCCCTTTCTTTTTTCCTTTATTTTATTAAATCATAAATGTGCAACAGCCTTTTAACTCTATACACACTTAGTTTTTTTTTTTTTTTTTTTTTTTTCAAGGAAAACAGTGTGTCTTATCACGCTACGATCCTGGCTAATCGCTTTTCCAAACGTTGAGAAAAATTTTCACATGTCCCCTAAGACTTAGAAATTCAACATGATCAAAGAAATGTTCTACACTCTTACAGAGACCACTGGAAAAACACGCAAGGTCCCTGGGCCTCAAATGATCCAGGCCCAGGGAGAGCTACTGATGTGAAAGGGGGTCAGAAACCCGGGGGCCGCCTCCTCCAGCCAGCCCAGGCCGTGCGCCGCAGACCCAAGCCTTCCAGGGCCTGTCTCTGAAGCTGCTGGCCCCCCAGCGAGTCTCTGTGGCCCGTGGGTGGCCCAGCAGGCTGCGGAGCGAAGCTGGCCCGGGGTGCTTACCACTGCCTCTGGGGAGGGCGACCCCCGACAGAGCCTCCAGCACGGAGCTCTTGCCCGAGCTCTGGTCCCCGATGACGGCGATGGCGGGCAGGGCCAGGTCCTGTTCCACGCCCAGCGCCCGCAGGGAGTCGATGAGGTCGATGCAGGGGCGCACCTTCTCCTCATACTGGCTAGCCAGACTGTGCTCGGGGCCCTGGAAGAGGCAGGATTCCCATCATCATCAGGAATTTGGGGCAGAATGTGTGCCTCCACTGATGTTGGGGTGCAGACAGGAGGTGGGAGGGCCTCCGGGAGGTGCCCGTGTTCTCCTCCTGCAGAGGCTTTGCTGATGCTGATGTGGGGCTAGCTGGCTGGGAGGTGCCTCACTGAGCAGGGAGAAAGCACGCAGGGGTGGGAGCTCCTGGCCAGAGGGAGGATAGGAGCCAGGCCCTGGGCTGCCGAGCAGGGGTGGGGTGGGGAGTGGGGTGGGTTAGCAATGGTGGCAGCGACCGTAGCAGCTGCAGGAAATCTCCCCGGGGAGGGAGGGAGACCCCAGCATCTGGAACAGAAGCCCCAGGCTTGCTGCCTCAGAGATCGGGTATGTCCCTGGGGCTTGCTGCAGGTGCCTAGGAGACTGCGGGGCACCAGCTTTCCTGGTGGGATTGGACCAGACTTGTGGGTTTATGGCTATGATTAGGGCGCTCATCTCTGGCCGGCGGCTGGAACGCACCCTTCCTGAAGTCCCTCTGCGTGACCTACCTTTGCCCTCTGTTGGCCCCTGCTTCCTTCTGGCTGCTGAGGGTTCAGCGCCAGTGAGCGGAACTCCCTGATGAGATAAGCTGGATCCTGCCCTCTGACCTGATGGTTCGGGGGACACATCATGTGTCCTGCTGCCTCGCCGGGTGGCGGGGGCTGCTGGTGGAAGATGTTCAGTTCTTTGTTTGGTTGCTGTTGGGGACAAAACATCTTGCGCCTCTGGTATGGCCAGGAAGTGTGGGCCTTAGACATTAGCCGTCACTGAGTCAGAGCTGGTGGGAGTGCTCCCCGTTGCTCAGCACCGCGTCTGCCTGACAAGCTCTGTAAAGACACAGGATGGCAGAGTGGCCCACTGTCCCTAGGCAGTCCCCTCCCAGGCTGGACCTTTGCCAGCCCCGCCTCGCCCAACCCCACACCACGCACCCCTGCACGCAGACCCAGGGGAGACCTCAAGAACAAATCCGTTGACTTGCTGAATCTCCTTAAGTAAGGAAATCATGTAAGATATAGTAACCTCCATGACATAAACACACAATAAATTACTTCGCAGAGAGCCAAGCTGAGGAGTTTGCTCTCCTGGCGAATCAAGGGCTCCCTTTTGTCAAAGAATAAAGGACACAATCAGTCTGTGTCCCCTCCCCCTTGGCGGCAAGGAGGCCCGAAAGTGAATCAGGGGGAGTCGTAGGGTCGTGGCCTTGCCATGCTCTTTGGCTCTGGTCCCTGGAGTCTTATCAGGCCTTATTCTTGTTTTAAGATTTTGCAAGCAGAGAGAATTAGGGGTCCCCAGAAAAAGAAAGACGAGGTACAACTTTCTTGACATAAGAAACGTCATTTTAGGTCCGGGCCATCCAGGATTCTGCGCCTGACCTGCACTTGCTCAAAGCACATTTCTTGCAGAACTTCCTGGGATATGTCAAAATGGCAGAAGAATAGAGCCCAGTAGTCAAGGATTTTAAGGGAAGGAAAGAATGGAAGAACAAACAGCCTCTATCAAGCCAGGAGATAGCCTAATGGTATCGGGGACAATCAATCAGTGATAAAACTCCCAGGGTTGGTTCAAAAAGTAAAGTTGGGCCCAACACACTCTTGAGTCATCACTGCAGGAGCTAACCCCGTGAGCATGCAGATACCGGACCGACTGGACCCAGAGAACTGATGGTGTCACCCTGGCTGGCCCTGTGCCTTCCATCACCTAGGACCTGGACTCTGTCCCTTAAGATGGCTTCTGCCCCAAGTCCATGCTGCGTCCCCCATTGCCCAAGCCCCGTCATGAATACGCACGCGCCCTTAGCGTAAACCTTCCCCAGTTCTGTTGTTTGCGGAGACACTGCTTCGGGAAATATCCCCGGTGTTCCTTGCTTGTTCCAAGTACCACCTTCCTTGTCCTATTCTTGGGCTTGGTTGGTCGTGCCCTTTGGCTCGTGACGCCAGCAAGAGGCGAACCCAGTTTCGGGTAACCGTTTTACAAGCAATTTACAGCAGTGCATGCGAGAGATGGTCTTTAGGGCCATACATTCTCCGCCTTTCCTGGTGGGAGCTCACGGGGCCCAGAGGAGGGGTCGCAGCTGAAGACACAGCCGTGCCGCAGAGAGGCCTCGGGGAAGTGAGCGTGGAGAGATACCCACTCCTGGGACTCGTGCGCGGCAGACTGGGGCAGCAGGGTCCGATCGAGTTAGGAGCACAGATTCGTCTCTGGCAAGATGCAGCTCATAAATGGTGGCCCTCAGGGTAGGAGGAGGCAGGAGGGACGGGAGGACATGCCGGGGGGAGACGCACGGGCAGCGGAAAGATGGCTGGTCGTGCTCGGGGATCAGCGAGGCCGCCCCGGAGAGAGGGCTTCCTTCCCTCCCTCTCCTCGGCTGCGAAAGCGCCCGAGCGGGACCCTCCGGCCCCCACTCCCAACTAGACCTTGCAGGGGCTGAGCCAGCAGCCCAGAGGAAGAAGAGGCCCCAAGGGTAGGTAAAGGGTAGGACGCAGGGAGGACCATGACCGAGGACGGGAGGAGGCCCCCTGGAGGCGAGGGCTCCCTGACCCCTGGAGGAGGTGCCATCTGGACCGAGGGACAGCGGACAGGGAACGGACGGAGTTGTTCTACATCGCCCCTGGGCCTCTGCCTGCATCCCCGATCACCTCCGGGGGATCCTCGTTGGATGGACGTTGTTGCTTGTCTCCTTCCCAGCACGAGACAGCGTGGGGGCGTGGCTGACCCGAGGACGAGTCACCAAGCCCAGACCGTGGGCCTGCCCAGGCCACAGACAGCACAAGCTCAGAAGGGTGGCCTGAGCTCAGTCTCCACCCCTGCCACCCTCAAAATGGACTCTCCCGGAGCCTCTGTCCACCGTCCACCCGGTCCTAGAGCAGCCGGGACTCGAGAGGGACCCGACAGAGTGACCTCATCCCGTCATCCCTTTTGCTGCTGGGTCCATGGAGACAGTGCTCCCTCTGTTGAAAGCACCCTCAAGTGGTGACGAAGTTACCTACATCACAGGTAAGCCCCTGAGTGACATGCAGGAGAAAAGGCATTACCCAGAATCGTCAGGTGATGGTTCCCAAACTGTGCGTCAGGGCACCCCGGGGACCCTCCGCAAACTTGCAGGGGCACTTGTGGCTTATTTAAGATTTCTCAGGGGTACACAGAGACACCTGATGGACACCACACAACCTGCTGTTACTGAGTTGTTTGGACCTAACAGCAACAAGTAATCGATAGAACTATTCGGTATTTCTTTTGCTCAGGGGTGAAGGGGCCGCTTGGCAGGAGGATTATCTTGAGCTGAAGGCAACTGAGACCCTGCGGGCTCAGGAGAAACTTTGCCCCTCCCTTAACTCCATACAAGAATCTGAATTGGGCGTCTTTCCGGAATAAGGGTTCTCAGCAGGGATACATTTTATCCATATGGTGGGGCAACCACCTAATCAGCAAACAGCTGCCCTTCTTGCTCTTCTTGTCGCCCGGTGAAGTGCATCCCTCCAAAGGCTCAGACCCCCGGCCCTTCCTCCTCCGTTCAGGATGACATGTGTGCCTCCTGTCGCCTGACCGTCCGGAACATCCATGTTTGTGTGGATCCCATACGCATGCTGTTAAATTAGATTTTCTCCTGTTAAACTGCCTCGTGGCAACGTGCTTCTTAGTCCAGCTACAATGACATTAAAAGACAAGAGTTCTTGCTGCCCGACACCTGTGCCCTCCCCTCCACTGTGGCACCTGCAGCCTGTGTCAGTCCCCCGCTAGGGTGGGGCTGCCCAGCAGCTGGGTTTCCCCCATTTCCTGCGATAGCTCCCTCGTCCCCAGGCCTCCCAGGTTTGTAAGAACACCTCAGGAGAGAGGTCTGTACAGATCTGTTCCAGCCCATGCTTCAAGCCCCAGAGTCTGATCTTGGTTCCTCATCTCTCCAAACGGTCCTGGGTGTCCGTGCCCCCCCCGCACCAGAAGCCCACCCCAGGGCCCCTCTGGTCAGGCTGTGGTGCTGAGCACTCTGGTTTTCAGCCTACGTCTGTCTTCTCTTTACATGCTTCTTTTTTTTTTTTAAGATTTTATTTATTTGGGGCGCCTGGGTGGCTCAGTCGTTAAGCGTCTGCCTTCAGCTCAGGTCATGATCCC